AACCTGAGTAAAACTGTGGCTTCCCCTTCCAAACAAACCAGGAAACCCTAATAATGGCAAATCCCGGCAGTTGCTTGGTGCTGAGCTTTTGGAGGATACCTGTATGGCTCTTGGTTTATTCCTTGATAAAACGCTCTGTCTGTTGAGTTGTTTCCAGAAACCTGAAATACTAAATGACTCCTTTCTGTCAGAAAAGAATGGTCTCGCTGAGTTAGTTCATCAGTGGTTAACGTATTTGAAGCCGGGCAAATGCTTAATAACTTTGCCAAACTGAAGCCTTAATCCTTTGTTTGCCACCGGCCCAGAATTGGTTTTACCCCTGAAACAGGACTGTAGAGCTACAATGCATTACTGCAACAACACCCTCCCCCCTTCTATTTTAGTAAAGCTTAGAACGTGGATCTTTGTCCCCTGAGCTCCTCCTGTAAGTGTCGGGAAGGGAAAGCCCCTATTACCCTAACCCCGGGTGAGCTTTCTCGCCGTTCTGTGACATTTACACAGGCAACTTGGCCTTTAAGGCTCAGTTTAGGACTGTTGGATCAAATCTTGTATAAATAGTGTCCCTTTGCTACTGTCATAGCTAATGTTTAACCACCTTTATGAGTACCCTAGGGGTCAAGTAGCTGAGAGATTTCTATTTTCTTCTGGATTTGGAACTTTTTTCTGATTTGTGGTATGTTTGGTTTGTGCATGTATTCCATCCTTTTGTGGATTATCGTGCCTTTTAGGGTTGTCTGTTGTGTTAAACTTCAGCATCTCTTAAAAGAGAGAAAACTATTGTTTGTTTTGAATTTGAAATTTTTACTCTTCATTTGCACTTTCCGTTGCCTTGGTAACTTCACTCTGTACTCTTGGGTCTGTGGTTGTGTGGTAAAGACAGTGTAAATCAGAAGTCTGCTGCAAAGCTCAGGGTCCAATTTCGTTCTCCTTCATATTGAGTAAGCAGTGCTGACAGTTCTAACGCTTTAATTCCTGGAGCTCTGCGCTTTCATTTTGCACCTTTCATTACGGCTTGATATAGACTGTACAGACAGCTTAAAAAATATACCAGTGTTAAACAGCAGAGGGGTAGCAAAACCAAATCCAGAAATCTTGTTTTCCTCTTCCACAGTCTAAGCGCCAGTCGGTGCTGCTTCTCAGTTCTTGGCAGTTACTGTCAGTGGAGGTTGGGAGTGTTTAAAACATCTTCAGAACAGATCTTGTGTATTTAGCGTGCCCTTATCGTGTAAGGGATCAGCTTTTCTGAAGCATCAGATGCTCAGCAGCTCCCATTGAGATCCTTGCATATGCTGCAGTGGCAACTGATGGATGCAGGCTACTTTCCAGAAGCCCTGGTCCAGACAGTGACTATTGAATTTTGAAAGTGTTGAGCTCCTGTAGAGCTTGCTGCATGCAGAGTTATGTGTGTGACACAAGGCAGAAATCATGGACTGGAATTTTAACGCTGAGTATTTCAGTGTGCAAACAAGGAATTGTGTTTCCGCTTACAGACTTGTGACTGCTAATTTGCTGTATTTGAATTACTATGGGTTGAGAAAGTTTTCTTGCTTCTTTTTTGTTTACATAAAAGAAAGATGGCTTTTACTAATAGAAAACTTTTGGGGGGAGGCGGAGAGTTGGATCCTCTAAGAAAATATTTGGTGGTATTGAAAAATGAAATGAACTAGTTATTGCAAAGCAAATATTTT